TTAAAACCTTGGATTAAGCAATAGATTCCTAGATGAAATACTACTGGGAAATTACACTTCTAAACTAAAAATGTGTGCATCAGGGGCTAAGGACATAGCTTGCAAGTTAAGAGGCCATACCATTCTTGCAGAGGACCTGAGTACAGCTCCTAGCACCCACATCAGGCACCTACAACTGCCTGTAACTACAGCTCCAGGGGATCTGATGCCCTCTTCTGGCCTCCCCAGCCCTCTCACATGCACATACCCACCCAGACACATACACATAATTTTAAATAATCAAAATAAATATTTTTTAGAAATGTGTTTATCAGAGGACTCTACCAAGAAAGTGAAGACAACCTAGAGAATGATTGTAAACCATTTAACTGATAGGGGTCTAATGTCTACATATACAAAGAACTCTTACCATTCCACAAAAAGCACAAAAAAAACAACCTAAAAATGGACAAGGGAAGCCAGGCGTGGTGGCGCACGCCTTTAATCCCAGCACTCGGGAGGCAGAGGCAGGCAGATCTCTGTGAGTTCAAGGCCAGCCTGGTCTACGTAGTGAGTTCCAGGACAGCTGGGGCTAAAGAGAGACCCTGTCTCAATAAGACCAAAAAAAAAAAAAAAAATGAACAAGGGATTTGAATAACTATTTCTCCATTTCTCCAAAGATATAAAAATGATCAACAAATACATGAAAAGATATTCAACATCATCAGTCATCAAGGAAATGTATAATAAAGCCCAAAATGTATTACTATTTTACACCCATTAGAATGACTAAAAGTTCAGAGGGGAAGGGAAGGAGCAAGGGAGCGAGGGAAGGAAGGAGGGAAGAAAAATAGAAGTGTTTTCTGAGATGAGAAACTGGAGAACTGGATTGTAGAATGATGACACAGTCACTTTAGAAAATAGTTTGACAGTTTCTTCAAACCTTAAACATTCAAGTTACCAGATAAGCTATTTTCTGACAACACTGCTGATATCAAATATACTTTTTCCAAACCAAAACTAGTTCTCCAACTTTCGAAACACCAACCAGATACACTATAATTCAGTTCAATTCTGACAAGAACTTCAAAAGTTAGTGTCAGACTCCAAAGCTCTAAGTGCTCAGTCCCACAAGACTGCCCTCACTCAGCTGCCAATCACAAGTCCCACAGTGCCACCTGTACTTCCAACCAAACAACTATAAATTAGGTCTCCCACAACTTCCATCTTGGGTGCACATGTGTGTGTATGCATGCACATACCACAAAATGCACATGGAGGTCAGAGAACAACAGGCAAGAGTTGTTTCTCTCCTTCCCCCATGTAGCTTCTGGGAATTGAACTTGGGTTTGAAGGCAGGCACCTTTACCTGCTGAGCCATCTCACTGGCCTATGTTCGGTATTCTGTAAGAATATTTTTTTAACATCTTAGGCAAACACTTAACTTGGACTTACCAATTTATGGCAATAGATGTCATAAACAGCCAAATGAAGAAGTCCACACAGGGTGAGGACCAGAAAGGTCCCAACCCACTGCTTAGAGGTTCTTATGGAGGTCCCATTCAAAGGCACTATCATTGGCCACTGGTAACTGAACTCAACTCGCAACTCTCCCCTTCCACCCTACTCCCAACTAAAACAGAAAGTTCCAACCACAAATCATATAGCTGGTTCCTCTGGCAAAAAGCCCCATTCTGAAGTTATGTATTGTGACAATAACTTCAAGAGTTAGTATTCGACTTCATAATTTTAAGTGCTCAGTCACTTGAAGCTTAGCATGATTGAAAGAGTATACTGTCAGTAGAAGGTTTAAGACCCCCAGTGGATGGCTGGAACTGAGACACTACCAGAGCCTACATATACTATGCTCGGGTTTTTTTAAATATATTTTTATTTTATTTATGTGCGTGTGTGTGTGTGTGTGTGTGTGTGTGTGTGAGAGAGAGAGAGAGAGAGAGAGAGAGAGAGAGAGCGTTATGTGAGGCAATGCCCTCAGAGGCCCAAAGAGGACATTGCATCCCCTTGAACTGGAGTTACAAGCAGTTGACCTGCCCAATGTGGATGCTGGAAGAACAGCAAGTATTCTTAACCACTGAGCCATCTCTCCAGATCCTGCTATGCCTTCTTTTTCGAACTACACATGCATATCTATAACGTTTAACTTGTAAATTAGACAAAGTAAAAGGTTAACAATAACTAATGATAAAACACAATTATAACAATATACAGTAATAAAAGAATACGGTCTCTCAAAATACTGAGTTTTATTCACCTTGTAACTATGTTTTTGATTTCATTTTGGGGGGGGTTGGTTTTTTGAGACAGGGTCTCATTATGTACCCATAGTCCTGGCTGGCCTGAACTTGCTACATAGACCAGGCTGGCCTTGAACTCACAGAAGTGAGTTCAAGAGGCAGCCTGCCTCTGCCTCCTAAGTGCTGGAATTAAAGGTGTGCACCATCACACCTAACTTTTCTTGTGACTATGTGAGATGATAAAAAAGCCTACGTGATGAGGTAAGGTGAATGATGGAGGCACTAAGATGCAGCATTCACCTATGACATAAGGGCTACTTGAGCACAAGCAAAGCAATACCATGGCAGTACATCCACGAACTGCATTATTACCTACGAGGGAAAAAAACATAAAATCTTTGATTGGCATATGATATTTTCCAGGATTTACCTGTGCAGCCTCATTCTTTGCTCCTTAGCAGCACAACCAATGCTCTAGCTATAGAAAACAACTTCCCTTTTTAAAGAAAATTAAAGTGTTCATGCTTGCCTACAAATCTCTATCCAACTCCTTGAGCCTTAAATTCCTTTCCCAATTTCTAGTTAATCAACCCTGAAACTTAAGGACATAACATTTATAGTGCCTGCCACATAGCAAAGGGTTAAAAACTGGTTGGGCTGGCTTAGGTTTCCCTTTTTTGTTTTTTGGATTCTTTGTGTTGCTGCTGTTTTCTGTTCTCAATAACTCCTATTTGCCTGAAGGACAAAGTTGAAATTATTTTGAAGGTATACAGACTATCTCTATCCATCATCTGGTCTCTGTCTACCTCCACAGTTCTCGTCTCATCACCACCATACCTAGCTATTCTCCAGCTAGCCACCCTTGTAGATCCCACTATGTAGTTTTCACATGCTGTTGTTTACACTATTCTACCTAAAGGCCTGTCCTTTCTATGCATGTCCAGTTGTTTTTACAATGTTGGATATCAGATAGCCAATGGCCTTACACATCTAAGCAAGGGTCTTCCACTAAGCATTCCCAGCCCTTTCTTCATCACCTTTTATATATAATTTCTTCTCTACTGCCCTCTTCCACTGGTTGAGTGCTTTCCTATCATGTCCAAACCCTGGGTTCCATATACATATATATATATATATATATATATATGTATATATATATAATCTTGTTGACAATTCAAGGAAGAGATAAAGTTTAGGCACCTGAAGGTGTATGGTCTTATCCATCTTCAAATTCTCTTCATTTGGCCCAGAACCTGACACACTGTAATTTAGTATTGCAAATAATCTGCATTCCCGCACCCCCATTCTATCTTACTTATGCTAACATTAGTTTCTATCAAGGATTTTCTTTTGTAAAGAAAAGGACACACTTTTGGGTCATATTCTGGCCCCAATCTCTCCTTGCCAAGCAATCAACTGTACAAATGTAACTGCACAAAATAAAGTTAATAAACACTTTTAAAAGATCATTTCTAGCCAGGTGTGGTGGCGCACGCCTTTAATCCCAGCACTCGGGAGGCAGAGGCAGGCGGATCTCTGTGAGTTCAGGGCCAGCCTGGTCTACATAGTGAGTTCCAGGACAGCTGGGGCTACAGGGAGACCCTGTCTCAAAAAGACCAAAAAAAAAAAAAAATCACTTCTATCTTTCCAAATGAGGAAAGTGGTCCCTGTAAGATCTACTACGAAAAAGAACATTTGAAAAGATAACAAATTCAGTTATCTTACCTTGTTTCTAAGATACTTTGTTTTAAATTTTCTTTAGTAGCAGCTACTGTGAAACTAATCTACCTCTCTTGGATCTGCTATTCCTATCACCACTTAAATATTCCGTGAATAACTTCCATGAACTAGAAACCCTACCCAAAGCACCGCAGCATTAGAACACGCCCATCCCATTAAGCAAAATAGCCAGTGAAAGCTGCTCCACCAAGGTTGGGCAGTGCACGAACTCAAAGCCGTGCTCCCCGGCCACAGGCGCTTTCAAAATACCTCGGGCGTATCTTCAAGAACGTTCCTAGACCCTACAGCACAACACGCCACTTGCACAGGAAAGATCCTCTGTGCTAATCCCCAAACTTGAACCAGCACTACTGAAAAGAAGACCGGGTGTGGAGTATTTTGTCGAACCTGTTTCACAAGAATAAATTTAAAGTAGGCAGAAGGAAGCTGACCTCGATCAGGAGCATTCTGGCAGACACTTGAAAATGCGTTGGGAAAGGAGTTCTCAACTCCATATCGTCCATTTCCACTGAAACCTGAACTAAGGACCGCTGCAACCTAGGGCGCCCTCTGCTCCATGCCAGCTGTGGGCAGCATCAGGAGCCGGTCCCAGTCCACCGGGCAAGCACTGAGCAGGTCAGCACGCCAGTTGCGACTCACAAACCCTCAGCTGGGTCCAGGCAGCCCCTGAGGTCGGGGCAGCTGTGGCCCGCAAGTCTGCCCCGTGGCCTGGAGGCTGGGGTAAACGGGTTGGGCTCCTCACTCACCCCCAGCCAGAGCAGCCCAAAACAGCACCGCACACCGAGGAAGGCCGGCGGGGCAGGTAGACGGACCCACCCCGAAGGGCAAGCCTGGGAGCGAAGTCTTCCCCCAGAACAGACAGCACCGCAGCCACGCCCCCCACCCCCAACTCCAATTCCGGCCCTAGAGCCCGAGCCCGGCACGCTGCCTGACAGAAGCGGGCGCGAGGCCGGGCGGGAGAGGACTCCCACGGGCACCGCGCCCCAGCGCTGCGACCCCCGCACGCGACCGCTCCCGGCCACTGACCTGTGCCTGCCGCCGTGCGACCGCCCGCCCAGCCGCAGCCGCCGCCTCCTCGCACTCAAGCTGCCGCCGCAGCCACGATCGCCGCCTCCTGCACTGTCCTCCCGGTCGGCCACGGGCGCCCCATTCCCACCCCGCCCAGCCTCCGCCTGTTTACAATGATTGGGACAGAACAGGACGAACCGGCCCAGCGCGCACGCGCGCTCCCTCCTCCCGCCGCAGCCGGCTTCCCGGGTCCCCTGCTCTAGGCTCTGACGGCTTAAGGCCGTGGAGAGCAAACGCGCTGTGTCTTCGCGCGAGGCACTTGGGGAGTTGTAGTTCTAGTAACCCCTGACTCCCAGCTGTCAGAGGCCTAGTATCGCGGACATACACCACAACACCCAGAAGGCATAGCACCTCCCCGGGTCCAGCTCGCTGAGGAGACGGGGAACGCGCGAGAGGACGCGCCAAGCGCTAAAGCTGGGCAGGCGCCTGCGCAGTGTGTTAGGGGACGGGATGGCCAGCTCATTTACCAGAGGGAATCTCGGTGGAAACGTAGTTCGAGAGCCGCTCGCGTGGTGTTCTGCAGGGATGAGCGAGTTTTTCTCCTCACGCTTGGGTCAGCCTGCCCCCAGCTACAGAAGTGGACACTTTTTTCGCGAGCCGGCGCACTTCCGTGGTTCGGAGCAGTCCAACCAGCCCGGGCGTCCGGCCCACCCCGCCTCTGGGGGGAGCACTTTCCTGGCCTTCAGAGTGGGGATCTTTTGGTGGGGGGGAACTCTTGCGTGGCTGTGACGGGGTGGAGAAAGGAAGTACCTGGGCCTGTGGAGAGACGACAGGCCTGCTTTAAGTCGGTGCTGGGATCCTGCACGGCGTCCCTGAAGGGGCGGCGGGTCCGCTGTTGTCCGCCGGCTTTAGCACAGCATCCTGTTCAGGTCGCAAATATAAACAACTGAATTTCCCCCAGAAGCCCTTCACGAAGCTGGAGGGATTGTTCTGCTAATGCAAACCAAAGGGTGGAAACCAGCGGTCTCTGGAAGTCTCCTGGTATTATAAAATTGACAAGAAGATAAGATTCAAATAGGTGGTTCTTCATGATCACTACCATTCCCCAGGGCCGCATCCTTGAACTTCATTACTGCTCTAAATTGATCACTGTGGTCCATCTTGTACTGTGCATCCAGGTCATCCTCAAATAGAACAGGTCTGTCCCTTAAAGATCCTCCCTCAGTGGAACACCCAGATCCCAGAGGAACCTTCCAGTTTCCCCAGTGGCAATAAAACAGTCTCTGTGAGTTGACTGTGAGAATGCCAATTATAATACTCTTTCCCGCTGGCGATGCTGATTTGGCCAAGGGCTAGATACTGACAAAAGTAGGGCTTTATGGAGCCTGAACTTTCAACATATGAGCCCAAAGAAGTGGGAGAGGAGGGCGTTTTTACTGAGTACTGATGATCATATGATCATCATTACTGATCAATACTGATGATCATTTCCAGTAACATGAAGTGGCCTGTCCACTGTAGAAATGAATAAGGCAAAAGCAAAGAGATGGAGGAACTGGCAGAAGACTGATTCCAACTAGGGCCGTAGTTTGTGCAGATCCTTAAGTGCTATGTGTGGGCTTAGGTGAGTGAGCCAATACATGAATAATCTATACACACTTTTATTTGTGCTCATGGAAGTACAGATATAGAGCATATATATTGGCTTAACCCTCAGCATTCTTTCCTCTTAACTGGCACCACATGACCATTCCTCTGGCAACTGAGAATCCTAGAGATAGGTCTCAACCAGAACCACACCAAGACATAGGTTGGGGCTTCAACTAAACTGCAGCTTCCTTGCTTTTGTGGTAAGTGAACCATAAGATGGCTGTGAATATAACCATTTTGGCTCCTACCAGGAAAAAGGAGAATTCAGGGAGATAACCCAGTCTGAGGATAAAGTCAGTAATGTCAAATAATGGTGTGCTCTGGAACAAAGCAGTTCATTGTAAAAAGATGGGTTTATGGCCAGGCATGGTGGCACATGCCTTTAATCCAGCACTCGGGAGGCAGAGGCAGGCAGATCTTTGTGAGTTCAAGGCCAGCCTGGTCTACATAGTTCCAGGACAGCTGGGGCTACAGGGAGACCCTGTCTCAAAAAGACACACACACAAAAAAAATGGGTTTATTTATTTAGTTTTTTGCAGTGCTGAAGATTGCACCTACGGCCTCCCACATGCTAGGCAAACACTCTACCACTGAACTATATCCACACATTATTTTTTCATGTGTATGAATGTATTGCCTGCATTGTATTAGTGCACCTGTGTCCTGAAATGCCAGAGGAGGCTAGAAGAGGGTGTTGCATCCCTGGGAACTGGAGTTATAGATGGGAAATGAACGTGGGTCCTCTGCAGAAGCAGCCAGTGCTCTTAACCGCTGAGCCATCTCCCCAGCTTCCTAATCCAAACATTCTTAAACTGTGCTGCTAACCTCCATCTAGACTGACCCACATCATCCCCCATGGGACTGAAAGTAAAGAAAGGTAATGTGAACTTCTCGAAGCCCTTGGTACTTGTTGTACCACAAAAGTACTTGTTCTGACTTCTAAGTCTCATAACCTCTGTCAGTATCCATGATCTGTTGCAGGCTGACAGATGCTCACTTAAAGTAAAATCAGATCTCTCAACTCCTCCCCAGTTATTGACACTTTTGATTCTACCAATTGATTTAGTAGCATGAAATATGTAGGCAGCCTCCTTTCTCTACATCCACTCTTCCACCTGTCAGACATGTCACACATATGCACACATGGACTTTTTTGAATATTTTATTTTTATTTTATGTGTATGTATTGCCAGCACGTATGTAAGTGCACCAGTGTTGTGCAATGACCTTCGGAAGTCAGAAGAAGGCACTGGATCCTCTGGAATTGGAGTTATGGATGGTTGTTAGCCGTCATGTGGGTGCTGGGCATCAAACCTGGGCCCTCTGCAGGAGCAGTCAGTACTCTTTAACCACTGAGCCATCTCTCCAGCCCCATACATAGACTTTTTTTTTTTTTTTTGGTCTTTTTGAGACAGGGTCTCCCTGTAGCCCCAGCTGTCCTGGAACTCACTATGTAGACCAGGCTGGCCTTGAACTCACAGAACTCACAGAGATCTGCCTGCCTCTGCCTCCCAAGTGCTGGGACTAAAGGTGTTCGCCACCGTATGCCTGGCCTACTTTTTTTTTAATGTATATTCTGTATTTCCTGCATGTAGGTAAGTGCACCCATGTCCTGAAATGCCAGTGGAGGTCAGAAGAGGCTGTCGGATCCCCTGGGACTGAAGTTAAGGACAGTTGTAGCTGACATGTGAGTGCTGGGATTCTAACCCCGGTCTTCTGCAAGAACAACCAGTGTTCTTAACTGCTGAGCCATCTCTCCAGCCCCGACTTTTTTTTTTTTCCTTGGAGCTGAGGACTGAACCCAGGGCCTTATGCTTGCTAGGCAAGTGCTCTACCACTGAGCCCCAACCCCATCAGCCCCTACTTTTTAATCTCCCCAATGCACCTGTTATAATTTGGGTCACATCAGTGTTCAGTAAAAAGTGATTAAAGGCTATACAAAAGCTTTTCACAATTTCACATGGCATTTTGTGCACACACGGCTTTGGTTTTCTTATTATTTATTTTTATTTTCTATGCATGAGTGTATTGCCTGCATGTGTGGAAGCACACCTGTGTCGAACAATACCTGCAAAGATCAGGAGATGGTGTTGGATCCCCTGAAACTGGAGTTAGGGACAATTGTTAGCCACCATGTGGTGGTGGGAATTGAACCTGGGTCCTCTGCGAGAGCAGCCAGTGCTTTTAACTGCTGAGCCATCTCTCCAGCCCCAGCTTTGCTTTTCTTTGAGACAGGTTTTCATGTACCTCAAGTTAGCTCCACACACATTATCCTCCTCATCCTCCTGCCTCCTCCTGAAGGTACAGGTATTGCCAGTACATCTGGTTTGTGATACTGAGATTGAATCCAGGGTTTCATGCATGCCATGCAGGCACTCTACCAACTTAGTTACATTCCCAACCCTATTCATAGACATGCAATGTAAGCACCTCCGATTTTCTTTCCTTTTTCACGTAGCTTTTCATTTTCTAGATAACTGATAATTGTTTTTATTTATTTGGTTACTTGCTTAGTTTTCTACATATTTATTAGTAATTTGTTCCCAAATTCACCTTCCTTCAGTTGTTGGTTCAGTATATTTAAACCCACATTAGGTGTGTCTTTTCATCTTTTGTTTTGTTTTGTTGTTTTTGTTGTTGTTTGAGATATCTTCCTGTAGCCCCAGCTGTCCTAAAACTCGCTATGTAGACCAAGCTGGCCTCGATCTCATAGAGATCTGCCTGCCTCTGCCCCTCAAGTGTAGGGCTGGGATCAAAGGGGAGGGCCACCACAAGTGGCTTCTCTTTTCATCTTTCTTTGTTTTTTTGTTCATTTGTTTTACCTTTTGTGTTTTCCTATTTCCTTTTTTTACTATGTTTTAGTACTGTTTTGACTTTATCTTTGTAAATCTTTTATGTTTTTATTTTCTACTCTTATATTTGCCTAATTTTATTTATGTATTTTTTTCTTCATTTTATAACCAGGTAAAAACTCTTACTATTTTTTCCTCTTTCCTTCTAACATTTCCTCCATTCTCCTTTGTATTTCTTTCATTTAATCTTGTTTCTCATTTCTTTTATACCTTTATCTGCCACCTTTCTTTACTTCATTTATTATGATTAATTTTATCCTAAATAATTTTTTTACTATTTTATTATTTTTATTTTATGTGTACGAGGATAATGCCTGCATGTATGTAAGTGCACCTGTGTCATGCAGTGCCCATGAATGTCAGAAGAGGATGCCTGATCCCCTGGAAGTGGAGTTGTTGTTAGAGTAAGCCCCATAAATTGAACTGGTCCAGACTATAAAAAATATCTATGCCAGGCGTGGTGGCGCAAGCCTGTAGTCCCAGCACTTGGAAGGCAGAAGCAGGCGGATCTCTGTGAGTTCAAGACCAGCCTGGTTACATAGTGAGTTCCAGGACAGCTGGGGCTACAGGAAGACCCTGTCTCAAAAAGACAAAAAAAAAATGTCTATCTGTTCAAGGACCCACTTTTCCAGTCCCACCAGGTCAATTACCTGGTAATAGGACCACTCCCAGGAAGGCAGGTTCACCTTAAATTATGCTAAATAGATGGGTAGAA